CAGGTACATAGCGAAAACGTTAGATAAAAGCAGGTACATAACGGAAACGTTAGAAAAAAAAAACAGCTGCAAAACGGACTTGTTATATGAAAGCAGGTAGAAAACGGAAACGTTAAAAATGAAGCCGGTACAAAGCGTTAGATAATAGCAGGTAGTAAAAGGAAACGTTTGGACAAAGCAGGTACAAAACGGTAACGTTAAAATAAATCATGTACAAAACGGAACAGTATGATAAATGCAGAAAAAAAAACGAAAACGCTAGACAAAAGCAGAGACGAAACGGAAAGGTTAGAATAAAGCAGGTACAAAACGAAACTTTACAATAAAGCATGTAAAAAAAACGCAAACGTTCAATGAATGCAGTTACAAGAGGGAAACGTTAGACAAAAGCAGGTTCAAAAAGGAAACGTTAGAAAAAATCAGGTACGAAACAGAAACGTTAGACAAAAGCAGGTACAAAACGGAAATGTTTGACAAAAGTAGGTACAAAACGTAAACGTTAGAATAAAGCAGGTACAAAACTAAAACGTTAGATAAAAATATGTACAAAACGGAAACGTTAGAATAAAGCAGATATAAAACGGAAACGTTAGATCAAACAACTACAAAAGGGAAACTTCAGAATAAGGCGGGTACAAAACGGAAGCGTTATATAAAAGCAGGTACAAAATGGAAATGTTCGAATAACGCAGATACAAAACTGAACATTTAGATAAAAGCAAGTGTTAAACAGAAACATTAGAACAAAAAATGGTACAAATCGGAAACGTTCGATAAGAGCAGGTACAAAACGGAAATTTTAGAATAAAGCTAGTACAAAGGGAAACGTTAAAATAAAGCAGGTACTAAACGGAATGGTGAGAATAAAGCAGGTACAAAACAGAAACGTTAGATAAAAGCAGGTACAAAAGGAAAAAATAAAATAAATCGGGTACAAGCGGAAACGTTAGAATAAAGGTGGTACAAAAAGGAAACGTTCGATAAGAGCACGTACAAAACGGAAACGTTAGAATAAAGCAGGCACAAAACAGAAAAGTAGTTATAAAGCAGGTACAAAACCGAAACATTAAAATAAAACAGGTACAAAACCAAAACGTTAGAATAAAGGATGCACGAAGCAAAAACGTAAAAATAAACGGGGTACACATCGGAAACATTAGAATGAAGAATGTATAAAACAGAAACGTTAGATAAAGTAGTTTCAAAAGGAAATTTTAGATAAAACAAGTACACAACGGAAACGTTAGACAAAAGCAGGTACAAAACGGAAACGTTACAATGAAGCAGGTACAAAACGGAAACTTTAGAATAAAGCACGTACAAAACGGAAACGTTACACTGAAGCATGTACAAAACGAAAAACGTTACAATGAAGCAGGTACAAAACAGAAACTTTAGAATAAAGCATATACAAAATGGAAACGTTAGACAAAATCAGGTTCAAGCCCGAATGTTGAAATAAAACAGGTACAACTATTAAATTATTTGGACACAGTAATAAAATACGAATGGAAATATGACGTGGACATCAGAAAGCAAATTAGTATAACGAAAGTTGCCTCCCAGAAGATATACAGAGTGGTTAGAGGTAGTATACACACACAGCGACACTTTATATGAGAAACATTCAGATATAAATAAAACTAATCGTTTTTAGAAGTTAATATGAATAAAGACAAAAGGAACTCTATTCTTAATTTTAAAAAAATGGAAACAATTCTTAATTTTAAAAGTTTTCAAAGTTCAACGATGTATTTACTTCTATTTATAAATAAATATTGCAAAATAAAATCTTTACATTTGCCTTGATAAAGTCCATCAGAGGACGGAACGCATTGGTAAAGAACAGTTTTCCTTTTGTCTTTCTTCCTTCCTCCTGAAAAGGGGAACCAGCCAGGGTAGTACCTAGATGTGTGACTGATTGAGAGTTAAGGTGCCGTAAGCTTGGGTGTGTGGGTGGTGTAATACATAACGGCTTGGAACTGGAAATCGGAGAGCTGAGTTCAAATTACTATCGGGTTCACTTACGGGTAAATACCCTCGAGAAAAGTAGGAATCCATTAACACGGCTAAGAAACATCTTTTCGTTTCTTACGAAGTGGATTGGTCTTAGAGATTTTCAGAACCTTTCATTTTACATGCACACGACTTACGTGCAGCAAGCCCTTACTAAAAATAAATAAATAAATAAATAAATAAACTCAAAAAAATATCTGATATTTATTCCAGTTCTTGTGAAACGTTTTGACAACGGCTTCAGCACTTTTTATATTGCTTGTGAACGAGCAGGTTTCGAAAAATAAATCCTCGACGATAGAAAGAAGAAAAAATTTTAAAAAATGTGGTAATTGGTTTGATTATGAGATGTGAGTCGGCGTTGATAAATTTTCTGTAGTTTCTTAGAACCCAGTCATGATGCAGATTTATATATAACCATGTATAAATATTAAAGGATGAGCCGAATGTCGAATCTAGTATGCAACGGGGGCTGGAAGGCGACGTATTCCTCATCGGCCGTCGTTGACTGGCAAATATAAAAGAAAAACAGAATCGAATGTCCATTCTCAGATCATACAAAAAAAAAACAGACTTTTAACGCCACACAATCGTCCTTTTTTTTACAGTAAGGTTCACCCTGTACAATTCCCGGGGCACTCGAGTTAGAGGGTTACGTTAAGGGGTAGTTTATATAGATAGGAAGGGAAGATAACTTAAACCTGGAGTTGAACAGGTTAAGATTGTAGTGATCAGGGAAACAACTTCTTGGGATTCCGTTCCACACAGCAATGGTTCGCGAGAAGCTTCTGCTTGAGTGGAACACGAAGTTGATGTGGGTGGCTTGCTACTATTTAAATGGCATGGCGGCTCCTTGTCTTGAAGTTTCGACTTGGCGGAACCAAGGAATATAGTTCGTCCGGATGACTTTCCATAGAAGTAGCAATAGAGCAGTGACATACCCGCCGCATCTCGCCTGTTAGGGAGAGGTTTCAGGGTGGTGTTTCCATTTCTCTCGCTTCGTGAGAAACGGAGACACGCCTAGTGAATCTCATTGATATGCACAAATAAATTTAGAATAAACAAAGCAAGGACAATGAAGACAAATCGTTGCCAAGAAGAAATTGAATATAAGAAATGAAATGTGATGAAAAGCGTAAATTTACGATGAATGAAAACAGACGATAAGAAAAAAAAAGATAGATAAAATAAAAATTGTTGACTTCAGAGACTGACGCACTTTAGTAATTACTTTTAGCCTGGAAAATTTCACACGAGAAATTACTGCTTGGATTGCTCAAAATAGGCATTATGATTATTTATATTATTTACAATGTTCTCATCTAGCCGAGTGGACCGAAGCCTTGGTTCATAAATGTTGTGAGAGCAATTATGTTCAATCTCAGGGCCGGATGGTACACTAAAAAAAGCGAGGAATAACCTGCTCCATACAAGCCGACATATCCCTAGACACAGGTAAATTAAATGAAACATTCAGTTTGAAAAATACCCCCGACTCTGACGATCATACAACTGAAGAAAGCCATCATATACCAAAAAAAAAAAAAAAAAAAAAAAAAAAAAAAAAAAAAAACAATAACGTTTCGGACAACGAGCCCGGAACTGCGTAAGCGGACAGGTC